CCTCTTTGATCAAGACTGTCCTGTGTTGACATTTACATTACTATCAACTTCCTTCAAAGAGTGTCAATTTCTTATTTCCTTTTTAAGCCCCTAAATGTATCTCTAATCTTGGATTCAAACACTGCTAAATTTATACCTTAATAAGCAGATAGCCTATATATATGCATACATGAGCATAATGATTAAAATGATATAAGGATATACTTAAATATACACAGGAACAATGGGTTGAATAAATTGGAAAATATAGTCTGAAATTCAGAAGTTAAATAAATTTGAGTTACTGTATTAATCTTACCACAGACAGCCTTTAAAATTAAAATAATCCAAAATGTATGCCTTTTCCCAGTCCAATGAGAGAAATATCTTTGTTCTATTTTGAGAAATGTGCCTCTACAGCACCAGGATTAATTGAATTAAATCTTTTGAAAGAAAAATGTAATAATAAGAAAAATAAATTGGAAATGTTTTCGGTTTGACACACCTCCCCCACACATCAGCAGCATTTTGTGAAATGCTGAAATACATACTTGACTCTGGGAATTAGCTCCTCATTATTGCAAGTAGTAGACAAAGGACACATTTCAATAACAAAATAGTAAACCCCAGAGCTTAAAAATCCTCATGGCAGAGTTGAAGGCTGAAGGGAAACTGTATATTCTAACTCTTTCTCCCTCACAGTGAAAGGATGTGGGCCACCTTAGAAATACGTCTACAGTGATGCTCTATTATTTGATGGCTTTGGCTTCATTCAGAATTTTTAAAGGTATGAATATAAGGAGATTATGAAGATAGCATAGAATCGGCCAGGAAAAGCTAAAATACACTGACAGTGACAATGTGAGCCTCCAAACACCATCCATATGCCAGAGATGCATGTGTACTTATCCTTCACAGGAAATGCATCTTGAAAATGCTCATTTTTTACTGTACTGTAACTCTAGAGTAATGTATTTTATAAAAGCAGAATCCCATATTTAATCCCTACCGAGGTCTTATATTGAAAACTGAAGTACATTAGAGGAAAGATTCTCATATCTCAAAGGAAAAATAGGAAACTAAAGTTCCCGCATTGTAAATTATGATGCAAAAATGTAAGCAGAAAAAATTCTAGGTAGAAAGAAAGACAGTTTCACTCACATGGGATAATACTCAGGTTTACACTTTGTGAATTTGGGAGCCCTGTGTAATTGGTTGTAGAAGTTATTAAATCATTCATAAATGGCCAAAGCAGGAGCTTTAACTGTGAAACACTGTATTGTCGTCTTAATTTGAAATAGTATTTAAACTATATAATCATGTGTATAATTCTGTGATAATACCTATAAAAACCTTTAGCCTTGGGGATTCTGCCTATTTGGTCATATTTATAAACATTTTCTATATAAGACATTGGAACAAAAATAACATAAGTGAAGGTTAGCTTTCACAATTCTGTACTTATTTTTCTTTTTCTAACATATTTTAAAAAGACTGGTTTCTTGTTCTCTCTCTGCTCTGAAGTTCACTCTATGTAAAGTATAACATATGTAAATGTTTCAAAATATAATAACAGTTTGCTCAAACTGGAATAAATCTCATTATAACCATGACAGTGCATTGTTTATGACAAAGAAATGAACTGAAGTTTTATTATACTATAGAGAGAAAATAAGTTCACATGATTATCAAGCATGGTCCACAGGTACAAAATACCCTACTTCCAAGAGAAATGGCGATATAAACAAACAGTGAAACTCTGTTATCCACATGTGAAATAATATTTAGAGACATTCACAATCATCAGAATACATTATGTCAACATCCTAGAAGTGCCTGGTTGTAAATGTTTTCCTATAGTTAGGAGAGACTAGAAAACCCATCAAAAAATGGGTCATTTTTGGGGACTGCCCACAGCATTCTACTGTATATCTAAATGAAAATTTTCAAATATTCTAAGAACAATGGAAGAACACTTCATTTGTTTTCCTTCAGAATTTCTTGGTTCTAGTAAGAATGTCCTTGTGACTCAGATCAGAATTCCATTTTGGATTTCATAGATGATTCCACTATTCTATACAGAAAGAATACCGAATTTATGGGACCCATATATGTTTTTGCTGACCCCACTCACTGTAAGGAGCCTCTGGAAGTATTTTACCTGGAATGAAATACAGAACCTCATTTCACTGAAATTGTGACAAATAAAACTGAAAATCAAAATGCTGTCCTTGAGGACCATATGCAATTGTTAGTTCTGACAGAGGGAATCAGAAAATCTTAAGGATAGACTTTCTTCATTCTGAAAAACAACAACAACAACAATAAAACACTCTAACGAGACTATTTTTTTTTTAAATGTTAAGCAAAAACACTCTTCTGAAGTAGAACTCAGGATCCTGTTGGCTTCATGATGGAAAAACACTTGGATGTGGGGTTAAAGACTGCCCTTATGAGGCTAGTGGACTACACTGCTTTAAGATGGAGGGTTTTCATGAGAGACTGTGGACTCTGAGAAACAAACTGAGGGTTCTAGAGGGGAGGGGGGTTTAATACCCAGTGATGGGTATTAAAGAGGGCACGTACTGAATGGAGACACTGGGTGTTATATGCAAACAATGAATCATGGAACACTACATCAAAAACTAATGATGTAATGTATGGTGATTAACGTAATAAAAAAAAGAAAAAAAAAGATGGAGGGTTTTAGGGGTAGTGGGCCAAGTATGGATATTCTATTTTTCATGAGTAGAAGCCACTTGCCTTGGATTGAAGATGAAAGTTTGTAACAACAGTTCTTATGAACTACAGCGAATCTACTCATTTTTAACTTACTTTTGTAGCTATCATTATTGAAAACTCTTGTTAATTCTAACAATACTTCAGTAAATTCTTTTGGAATTTCTAAGCATATAACCTCATTAATGATTATTTTACTGCTTCATTTCAATTTGTTGTATCCTTCTCTCTTATTCCCTTAGTATAAGGTAGATTGCTTTCAATCTAGTTGGACTAATAAAGTATTTTTGAATTTTGAACAGCAATTTAAAGAAAGGATGGATTTGAGAAGCTAGAAATAGGTTGTAAACTTAGGAGCTATTAAAATAGTTTTGGAGTGAGCAATGATAACCAACCTTAGGATAATGCTAAAGAGAACAGAAAAAAACATATAGCCGAGAGCTATTATGGATCAAGGAGGAACAAGAAGCTAGAAATGACTTCAAAGCTTTAAACTTAAAAAAAAAAAAAAAAAAAAGTGTGTGATTTGACTGTGACCAGAATTAACAATTCCCTAAAACTTTAAAAAATAATATTAAGAAATTGAAGAGGGCATCTGGGTGGCTCAGTTGGTTAAGCGACTGCCTTCGGCTCAGGTCATGATCCTGGAGTCCCGGGATCAAGTCCCGCATCGGGCTCCCTGCTCGGCAGGGAGTCTGCTTCTCCCTCTGACCCTCCCCCCTCTCATGCTCTATCTCATTCTCTCTCTCAAATAAATAAATAAAATCTTTAAAAAAAAAAAAAGAAATTGAAGATAAATGTTATTACTGAACTAAATATATCAAATATATATATTTGTGTATGTTTCTTCAATGCTTTATGCTCTCTATGTGAAATGTATGTGTTCAATAAAAATAATTTCAATATATATTTAAATTCTAGAATATGAACAGATTGATTTCAGATGAATCTTAGAAATCTTTGAGCAGCATTGTACCTTATTGCATTCCTTTTATTTTAGACAACAAAACAAAACATTTTGCCAACAGTTGGCCTATCCTAGTTATTAAAACTTTTTTACACAGATTGTCACCAGCTAAGCTAAAATAGCAGCTGTCCACTGGAAATAATTGCAGAAATGTTTTGCCCATTGGCCTGAAATCAAACATATGTTTTCCTGTTAACAACTAAAATATAACTTTCTTTATTGACATGTGTTAATTATAGAGGAGTGTTAATTACAGAGTTATACACCTGGATTGTCAGACTGGCATAAGATACCATTATTTAGAGGGTGGGGATTATCACATATTTTAATTTTTAGCATTTCAAATAGTTGAGAAAGTAAGACTATATTCTACAATAATTTTTTTTTAACTTAACATTTGTCTAAGATCATGTCTATACAAAGCAGAAGGAATAAATAGCTCATTTCCCCCCATATCTAATCAGTGTTGGGAGCTAATTTAAATATACCATGACAGAGTCTTTAGTTCGGATTATAGGGATTTTCTACCTCCTTTGCACTTATATTTAGGGGATTATGATAAGCTTCACAACTTTCCATGCTCTGTATGAATTCTTCAAACACTTCAATTAGTATAAACTGTAAAAAGGAATAATTGATAATGTAGCAAGTCTTCAACATTTTGGTTTCTATTTCTAACTTCGCACTGCTTTCACATATATGGACTGTCTGTCTAGTTTGCTGATAAAGACTTTTAGTTGATTTTAGGGGTTTCATGCCTGGAATAGTCAACAAAGAAACATACTCCTCTCTCCACATAGGTCATTTATTATTTTTTTTAAAGATTTTATTTATTTATTTGACAGAGAGAGTCACAGCGAGAGAGGGAACACAAGCAGGGGGAGTGGCAGAGGGAGAAGCAGGCTCCCCGCCAAGCAGGGAGCCTGATGCGGGGCTCGATCCCAGGACCCAAGGATCATGACCTGAGCCAAAGGCAGACGCTTAACGACTGAGCCACCCAGGCGCCCCTCCACATAGGTCATTTAAAACAGTACATTTGCCAATGTGCCTACTGTCAGTCATAACACAGCAGATAAGGGCTGTGGGATTGCTCATAAGAGACCCGTTGGGGCATGTTTACAAATGTCCTTGAGGATTCTTTATGATTCTGACACCTAAAAATAAACGCAGAGCTTTTCTTCCTAAAGTTAAAATATTAACAATTCCACATGGTCATTTACTTTGTCTAATACGTTCTTCCATCAAAGCAAACATGGATTGTCAGCATGGGCAGTGGTGTTACCTTCACAGAAAATAAAAATAAAGGAAATGTTACCTTCTGTATACTGATGATTCCTTCCTGTGTGTCTTTGTCAACAGAAATCTTGAAAATTCCCAATCCGTCACCATCCACAATTCTGTATTCCATTTCAGCATTAGCTCCTATATCTGCATCAGCTGCTTTGATCCTGGCCACCACGGAGGCCACTGGCAATGACTCTGGGACGTTATACTGGTAAGACCCTGTGAAATTCACATCAAGAAGTGAACAAACTACATGGAAGCTAACCAATAAATACTTAACTATCTGGCTGCTTTGCATCATCTTTGCTTAGTTTGTTTTTATATTTTACTAAAAAAGATGTTAAGGCAATATGAGATGAAGGACAAGTTTCATATAGACTCAAGAAATTTCTTGGTGATAATCTAAAATAATTAATACGTGACAGCAGAAACAGCCTGAGGAAGGCATGATAAGAGTGTCCATTCCTGTATTTCTAGTGGTGAGAAATAAGCAATTTTTAATAATAAAATTTAAAATAATTATACATAAGATCAATATGTAACCATTGAATCTAAATAATTAAAATATAATAATATAAATATTAAAAAATAAAAACAGTATAGCTTAGGTTTCAAGTGGGCAAATACAAGCCTAAATAATTCCGATTACTTATTGTTAGGATGTACATAACAGTGTCTTTTACTCAGAAAGTTTCAGACAACTGGACAAGGACATTGATGAAAGACCACATTAGCCTTGTTTCAGCTCATAAATTTATCAGGAATGAGAGTTATCTCTGTGGGTTGTATGATTTGGGACACAAAGGCACAAGAGCAGACGTGACATTATTTGAACAGAAGGAAAGAAAAGTAAAATAGAAAGAGAAGCTTTTTAACTTTCTTTTGTAAAAATTCCTCTTCACCATCCTGCAAGTCAAGAAAAAAACCAAAAAAACCCAAACAAACAAAACACAGTTTGGAAAGCAGATGACCATGAATCATCCCTTCGAAACTAGAAAACTTCTCAGAACCATTTTTCTCTAATCATCTGTTTTTTCCTGTTTCCTCTACCTATTCCATTCCCTTCAGGTTGTTAAATGTGGTGTACTTTCACTTTCTTATGAAGAGAAAAAGATTCTCTTCGAAGGAACTGAAGGGACCCCATTTTTCAGCTCAGAATTACTATTGTTAGCAATTTTCTACATTTTGTGAACAGTCACTGATTAAAAAAAATAATAATGACAAGATATGCTGATGACTTTTGAGTGACCCCTTTTACAGATCCAGAAGCATCCTTAGTAAAATCCAGAAATTTTAAGGATAGAATATTAACTACATATGGTAGAGAGAATCCCAGTAAAAATGAAAACCCTAATGACATACCCTTGGCTTCCCTCACTTTAATAAGTAGGAGAGTATCTAATATTCGCTAGAAAACCTGTACTGTATCTTATCAAATCATGACAACTGAAATAATGAAAATTCTAAGTATCAATTCTTACCACTCTAGGCTAAAAAAAATAGTTAATTTTATTATGAGCCCAATATAATTACATTATTGTTTTGCTTATTCGACAACCTTCCTCTCCTCTCCCATTATAAGCTATCAAGGGCACGGTAAGGATGAGTTCATTTTTTATGAATGCTAAACTTAGAGTAAACTTTATTTTGTTAGGAAGTATTAAAATGTCTGTTGTATAACAATATCATATAATAATACTACATATTAAAATATGTAAAATAAAAATGAAACATCCAAAGACAGAGTATTTGCAGGAAAACACAGTGACTTTCATGTTTGCAGAGAAAGCTTCTTTGACATTGTTCGCTTCTAAGATCTGTTTTTGTAAGGGAGCTTCATTACTCATGTCTATCAAACAAACATTTTAGAGACATCACAGTCTATACAATTTCCTTATTTTCCTGAGAGTTGTAAAGAAATACCACATACACTTACAAAAGAAAAAAGAAAAACTAAAAGACAGTGAGATGAAATGCTTTTCTATAATCAAGACATTTTTACCTAGAATTCACCCCCCCCCCTTTTCTTGGCTAAGTCAAAAGCCACTTTGGTCATAGAAACTAAATTGAGGGCATGTGGTTTTCTGGTTCTTTGAATTGACTTCTTTAGAAACACCGAATGTTTGCACAAGAAAGAGATGATAGAACTGCTAAAGCAATGTTTAATGTGCATGAAGTGGTAAAAAAAAAAAAGTGTGGAGTAAAAAATGAAAAAGTTTAGTGCTCTTCTATTTTTATCTTTAAAAATGAATCAATACTTTCGGTGTATAGAATGCATGAAATGTATCTGAAGGTTACAATTGGCAACAACCTTGTAATGTACAGAATGTGTACAAAGAATATCTTAGAATGAAAAGATGAATATATAAATAAACTTAATAACTGGTATTAAAAATGTGAACCAAAGAAAAACTGTATTATATTGAAGACAGAAGTAATAAAGATATGATTGCCTCTTTTCATTTTCAATACCCTTATTATTCCACATTTCTGAATTAAGACCATGCCCCTGATAAAACAAAATTGTGGGAGAATGTAGTAAGATAATCACTTGCTAGAGAAGTATTTGGAAAAATTCCTTTTAAAAGACATTTTTATAGACTGGCAAGGAAAGTTAGGGCACTTGCAGCATTTAACAAAATAGCTTACTTCGAGGAAAGCGAGGTGGGTTATCGTTGACATCAGTTAGGGTCACGGTGACTGATGTAGTTCCCGAGAGTCCTCCATTTTGACCAACCATATCCTTTGCCTGAATAACAAGCAAATACTGGTCTTTAGCCTCTCTATCCATGTTTGGAAGGGCGGTCTTGATGACTCCTGTAAAATTTCAAATCCCAGTAAAACGCATCATGAATCATTGCATTTATACTAGTGAAGAACACTGATATAGGTAGCAAGTATTCCTGAGTTGTTGCCTTTTGTTGTTTTATTTTAAATAATCTTACTGCCTATTAAAGACCAAAGGGACATAATAGTTATATACAATATTACAAAACACAGAGAGTGCTGTAACATGGAAAAGCAGAGCTTCTCGATATTGGATAGAGAGGATTGTCTTTCAGTTTTATGAAAATATAGTTTGGAAATACCAACTTATAAATAAATAACATGAATGTGAACGCCTCATCTAAAGTAATGGGCAGTAAACTCTGCAGGTACATGACAATGAAACTCTCCTTTTCTTCTCTTTCACCCTCTCTAACCACGTAATTCCCAGGTGATGTGAAATCAGTATAACCTTTCAGTTATGGTTCCTATTACCTCTCTTTGAGCAAAATGGCTGAAATAGTCTAAAAATTAAAAAATGAGAATGACTTATGTTGAGTAAGAAAAACACCATTTCAAACTATGGCTATGGTTGTGGATTGTGGTTATGATGCAGGATGATCTTATGCTTTATCGAATGATCTGAGATAAAGTACTAAAGATGAGAATGACTACGTCAATATAAATCAGCAACACTGAAAACATTCATGTGTTTTGTTGTTGTTTCTAATCAATTGCATTGAATATTGATCACCCTTAAGGCTTCAGATATATGAGAAATTGATTTCAGAGTTTCATTTTGCTTGATGGGGAAGCTTGACAGAATAATCACTGGTATAGTAAATTAATTATTTTATAACTATTTAATTACTGCCTAAGTATATTAGGCAATAATATTTAATTATGGGATGAAATTTAGTTTAATGTTAAATGAGATATATACCTAACATACTTAGTATATGTACATAGAGGTGATATCAAATAAAAATGTATTTAATATTGATCTATACAGGCCTTGAAACTAGCAATATGAGGTCATCTTTACTAATTAAATATAAAGAGTTCAGAATCCTACTTAATTATTTCTTGCAATTTCATCTTTTCCAACAAAGACTATGTCTTACCTATCCACCTAGGACCATAGCTTGAAAGATGTCTAATCTATTTTATTAAACAGATTCTAATTTTTATGGGGAAGTCAGGATTTAAATCCTCACTGACTCAGACCTGCAGAAGAAAAACTATGGTATTAAGGACTTTTCAGAAGCAAAACAGCAAAACTGGGTTGCCTGATAGAGGATGGTTCTTCAGGAATAAAATAATTGCAAATAACTGTTTAATTTGGGATGAAGGTTCTTTCTTTCCTCATGTTTGGCATAAAAATGTTATATCCTTCCAATTTATAATTTTTTAAAAGCTGACAATTTAAATTGTTTAAAGGCTGATTATTCGATGTACACATGCAATAATGGTGTGCTATGTGTTATATATAAAATGTGTTATATTTTATTTATAGTATAGGTTATATTTCAAAACCAAACACAAGTTTAGGGGAAAGCATACGAGGCCTTCACTATAATTCATAATATTCTACAGTTTGGTAACTGTTCTAGGGGTGGGAAACAGATGAGAAAAGCTTTTCAATAGCATAGGAAAAAATTAAGCAATTTGCTATTGGTTCACAAGATTCCAAGTTAAACAACACTCATCCTGTCTTAAGTAACTATATTTTTGTTTAGTCTGAGTACTAGCTATCAAACACAAACACACCTACACACTTTACACACATCAACAACACGTTAGTATTTTAAGTGTTTAAATTATGCTTCTTTGAGTTAGGACAGTTTTGTTTTGTTTTTATTTTTGTTTTTATTTTTTTTTTAAGATTTTATTTATTTATTTGAGAGAGCGAGAATGAGAGAGAGCACATGAGAGGGGGGAGGGTCAGAGGGAGAAGCAGACTCCCCGCCGAGCAGGGAGCCCGATGCGGGACTTGATCCAGGGACTCCAGGATCATGACCTGAGCCGAAGGCAGTCGCTTATCCAACTGAGCCACCCAGGCGCCCCTTGTTTTGTTTTTAAACATTGACCACTTTTTCCTATCGGGCAGTGTTGCCACAAGCACAGCAAATACAGGGTCAGTTTAAGTAACTCCTTCCCTGAATTCTTTTTTATTTTTTTTTATTATGTTATGTTAATCACCATACATTACATCATTAGTTTTTGATGTAGTGTTCCATGATTCATTGTTTGCGTATAACACCCAGTGCTCCATGCAGAACGTGCCCTCCTTAATACCCTTCCCTGAATTCTTTTGGCCATCTACACACTGCTTATAGTTAATATGTGAAATATCAAGGAAACAAAAATCATTAGAAAGGGTCACATACTAATCTGGTTTGGTGGATCAGTGTCTAACACATATTCTTCTTAGTGTCATAATGATTCCATGTGTATTTCATGTTTGTTCTTCAATACTTCTGTTAACTCTATAATATAATGAGTGCTGATCTCAGTAATAATGCTACTGGGCATAGTCTTTATCTAAGAGTTCTGGGACTCACATCTGTCTTTTTCCTTTCTTTTGTTTCAGATGTTAATCATTCTTTATTTGTAACTCATTTTTTTTAATAAATTGAGGATTGGCTCTCTTGAATATTTGATCATTAAGTGTATCATTAGATGACAAAACATTAATGAATTATGTTCAGAATCATTTCCTATTCATTCGATTTATTTATTTTTTACCTTCTGTGCCTCTCTTATTTTTCCTCCCAATATCAATAGGTACAAGTGAGCTTACATCCTTGCACCTTTATAATGATGGAGAGAGGCCTTAATATTTTAACTAATCAGCAAGGAAAACACGGCAGCCTTATCCTCTCATGGTTTTGCTTGGTGACATTATTTTTTTAGGAAACAACGTTATTAAGAAAGAAGTCTGGTAGTCAAAGTTATTCACTTACTTTTCACACTTCTAATTGTTTCTTTACAAGTGATCCTATAAATAGCACTTTTCCGAAGTAAAAATCATCACAAAGTTTTCAATGTAACCAGGTGGCAAAGGTAATTTCCAAATACCTCAAATATTAAACATATTTTTGACAAGAAGGAATAATTGGGAGAGAAATGAATTTAAATAGGACATTCAAAAATAATAGATTTCCAGTCCCATGACTTTTGTGAGCTCTTTAAGTAAAACTGTCTACATTTGGAAAAGAGTTCTCATGCATTGGATTTGATTTGCACTTTGCTATATATTATGGAGAAACACATGTACAGCGAATTGCTAATGCTACATCTCTGAAGTAGTAAAGGCCAGTTTTGTCTAGCCAGATCCCTACAGTTCTGTTAAATTTTCATGGAAGACAACATTATTTAATTTCAATATCAGCCATTTTAAGCCACTTATGATGAGAAGAATATTTCCTGTAGCTCTTTAGGAAAGAGACTGGCTCAGATTTTAAGCTTCCTGAATAATAATTTTTCTATAGATGTATCATCTGACCCAATAACCCAGAACTTTCCATTTATTTATAATCCGTGGTCACAAAAAGTACTGTGCATATGAAACAAATTCATTATCACTATTGCTCAACAACTCTCTGATTTTTAGTCCGGGAATAAATTTTTAGATGATTCTTTAATTTCCTAACAGCCACTGATGATTTTTTTTAAAGCATATTCTTTTACCATGAAACTTCTTAAGAATGTATATATGTATTAAATGTAACAGATAAGAGCTGGTTCTGAAATCCACCCCAGTTTAAGGAACCAAACAATCACCGAGGCCTGGTATCTACACACTCAGATCTTGGACTGGTCCACATGACCCAGGTAACACAGGGCTACGGGGCTTCATGCCATGTGGATCTGAGACACATTAGATGTACATGGTGAATCCTTCCTATTAGTTTAACTTCTTTCTAAATTTTGCATCTAAGCTGTGTTTATATTTGGTTTGTCTCCCTGTAAGTGAAGCATATAATAGAACCATAAGAAGTCAGAGAAGAACCAATGATAGCAAATATGGAAGCTTCTAGAACACTAAAGTTTCAGAGTTGGCATCAAATGAAGAGTCCCTGAAGAAGGGACTCTTGTAATGTCTGAGAGGACATCCTCAGCAAGCCCGACAGGAGTGAGGGTCCTCCACACCATGAGCCATTCCACAGAATGGAATGCATTTGAAGGGCATATTGGGGGCGGGGGGCTTTGTTATGACAGTATTATTTACATAAAATTATGACGTAACAAGTGGGTATGTAATATATGATGCAGGTACTGTATAGTCACACTTCTTATGTTCAAGAAGGAACTCCTAAATGACAAGCGGTGTTTTATCATTCAATCCATTTTTCAGGGCCAGCTTCATGGCCATGTGACCTGTGAAGGGTCACAGGTCCCATGCTTGGTTTCTTGTTCTGTTGATAAATTCTTAAAATCCTGTTAATTTTAGAAGACAGGGCCTGCATTTCCATTTTGAGCTGCAAATTATGTAGCCAGTCCTGCCATATATCAAATAGACTGAAACACGGGGTCTATCCGCTTGCAGGTTACAGAGTAGATGGACACCTTAGAATAACCAACCACCAGCCTCCCAGCAGTTTGTGGTCATTGTGGAGATAGGTGGTGGGATTCTCCACAGTCCTTTTAATGTTGCCTTATCATGCTTCTAGTGCCATTCTGTTTGCTTATTAGAGCAAACTGTTAGCATTGGCTTTTGCAGCTACTCACATTCTTGTCTTATGGATGAAGAAATAAAGGTGGAAAATACAGTTACCCTCTGGTCACTTCTGCGGTGGGTAGTGATATGTGTGTAATATGTGACTGGAGGTTGTAGCTGTGCTAGGTTCATGATGTATGATTAATAAATGGTAATGGGGATTATTAATATTAGGGGAAAAATCAGAAGTTAAACTTATGGAAATGCATGTAACAGCGATTCCCTGTGCCTGTTTTTACAAAATCTTGACTTAGCATATTTTCAGTATTTTTCCTACCAAAAATTTTACTTTCTTTTTAAAAACTCTTAGATTCAAAGATTAAGAAATTCATGTGATTCCTCACATAGATAAAAATCAGACTTACACCAACTATGAAGACTAAGTCAAACTTGATTCACAGATATCCACGCCCTTAAGGATTGAAAACTTCTCATTTTTATGAAAAAAAAAAAAGGTATTTTTTTGCAAACAATACACTATCCATATTATAAATTAACAGAAGACAAAAATTCCCAGGATATCTCTGCACTAATGACTCTAGAAAGAGAAGTCCCAATGATCACTATAATTACGTATGAAAAACTCTAAACCAAACAAAATTAAACCTCTTCATCTCCTACAATACACAATCCTTGAGATTCTGAAATTAGAATTAATTTGAAATACTAATAATGTGATCCCATGACATAGACTATTGTCCACTTGCTCAATCAGAGACCCTCCCTCCACAGGACTTAAGAAAAAAACGATCATCTTACCACAAAGCTAAAATCTCAAGCCAATCATTAGTACCAGCAAAATATTTAACCCTAGGGATTAGTGCGTGCTATTTCTGGACAGGTTATATAATGCAGGAGTGTATAATTTGTGAGCAAATTGTCAGAAACTTGTCAATGTCTTTGTAGGCTGTAAAGAGTAAATTTATAAGGGAATGGGTGGGTGTTTGAATTTAGGCTTCTCAGATCTCTCATTAAATCAACCACAAGCACACGTTCTACATTCATAGGATTCATATCATAAATCAAATACTTTTGTTTACTTCTCCTTCAATACTTGCTTAATCAGAACTTTGTATTCTCTGTTAGACTTTCCAGGTGGCTTCCAGACTCTACCACTATATTGGTATAAAATATGCAAAGCAATCTCTGTAAAAACTCTAACGGTGAAGTAGGATTGAATTTATTTTTCCGTTCATGCACATTACAACTATCATTTTCAAAACACACTTAAAATATTTATCCTCCACAGTGATTTGAAAATGAATTAATATTACCATTTATATGGAAAACAGCCTAAGTACCATTAAAATAATCATTTAGGGTCACAGGTACTATCCAATAGTCATAAACTTGGCTGTTTGAAGAACAGTTTTCTTCATGATAAAGATAAAATTGTTACAATATGGAGAAATTTTGGATTTCATGGTGAAGAAGACCAGTGGCACAAACCACCCATCTCCACACTCACCCCTCCTCCCTCCACCCAGAGCCAGAAAAGCAGACTAGATAAAATGTTATTTTATGACCATGACAACGGTGCCCCAAATTAGGGTCTTACTTAATGTAAACTATTTCAGCTTAAAAGCAAAACAGAACATCTAGCCAACCAATCACATATTCTACCCAGGCAGTCCGAAAACTCATAAAAAATATGTTTTTTTTCCTTCTAAAATTAAAAAAAAATCACTTAATTTAGTTTTTGATTTAGCAGATCATCATCCTAATTGTTACGTTTAAACTAATTCTCCTGAGTAAACCAGACTCTGAAAGGATAAGCTGAACCTACTACCTATCCTACGGCAGGGCAGGGAGGTTTTTGCTCGAGATTTAAACTTAACTGTGTGTGATTCCTACATGAATTAGTTAAAGAAAGCAAGATAAAAAGAAAACAATGTAAATTGTTTTCTTATATAGTCAGGGCATAGCAGCTGAAATACTTTTTTTTTTTTTTAACACGTAATACTTTAATTTTGGTAGAAATTCTACTAACTGTAATAAAATAGTCTTGGGAGATGCTAATGCCTGTATAAATTATATGCTGTTTACTACCCCAGTCCACATATTGAGAGAAGCACAATGGCAATGTAGTGTCTGTTTCCAGTGCCAACTATATCAAATAAAAATAACAATATTAACTTTGTGCCAAGATATAAATGATGACATTACAAGAAGAGTCACATTTCAACGTTTACCTGTCTTTGGTTCCACTGAGAAGTATGGCTGTCCTTGCAGAATACTGTAGACCACTCGGGCGCTGTTACCATACGTAGGATCATCAGCATCCGTTGCTGTTACTTGTACCACTGAGGTCCCTACGTGCCAATCCAAAAACCAATGCATTTAAAACTTCCAAATGCCACAAAACAGAATGATTCACAAAATGCTGAACATGCTACATTTGTTTTTAATTCTCTTTTTTCAGGTTTCAAGGCATGTGAAAAATTGACGCATTTTTCGTAAAAGACAAACCCAAAATGAAGATAAATGCTAATTAAGCCCTCAGAAAGATTTAAGGGATACAAAAATATGTTAGCAAAAAAAAAATAATAATAAGATTGATGATGCACATTAGGAGGATACTCAGAATTGGAAGGGACTCAAATTTTAGGCATCTCATCCATCAGGGTCAGGTAACAAGTGTTTATCAAGAGCAATCTCTGTAAGTCTCAATTACTGTCCAGAAGGCAGTGTGACAAGTAACAGCGTCTTGACCCAAGTCACTGAGGGGATCTCACTATTATAGCTGAGCAGAGCCAGACAGAAAATGAAATGTCATTAACTGAATAAAGAATATCTGATGGATCCACTTAACTGAATATTAGGGGCATGTTTTCAGGAATAGTTTTAGTTTTCATTTGAGTCTATGAATTGATTTAAAAATAAAAGCATTCAGTGAAAATTTACACCACCACCCCCAAAGGAGAAACAAGTATGGCAACTTTAAAAATTGCATTATTAGTTGTTTTTCTATATTTCATGTGATAGAATGTCCTATGGCTTCTGCATTTATTATGTATTCACTTATTCCACATGGAAAGCGTGTACTGTGATGTGTTCTTTTTATTTCCATTTGAAGCAGAATCTTAAAAATGTTAGCCACATTTACTTAGTTTACATATTTAAGCACATACTATTTTATCATTTATGTCCTATTGATGGGAATGGAACAAGTCTCTTTCTTTTTGTATTCTTCTAAGGTTTTAATTTGTTTCTAATAATTTATTGAAAATATTTTTAATCAAATATCTCATCAATATATTTCTAAAGAGATTTCCCTAAGCCCTTTAAATAAGTCATTAATGTCCATCTTGTTACAAATCTATTGTCTTTTCAACACAATGATTTTCCTTACCAATCCCATTTTCTTTAAAAGTGGGTGCATGTTATGAAGCTATGTATAGAGCACTGTTTTTTAAATTCTGATTTTTTTTTTTTAATTTGACAGAGTTAGTTGATTGTGCCCTGCAGATGCCTGGTAGGACCAAACAGCAAATAATGCATATTAAAAATATTTTTAAAAATTAAATTTTGATTACTTTTAAATATTAAAATTAATGGCATTGATATTCTCTATTTTCTCCACAATGCACCATCTTTACAGAAATATTTACTCTGGTGACATGCTGAAGTATTGATTTCCTACTTCATTTGAAAAGGAAAGTGCCTTAAAATAATCAAAACTACTTTAGAAAATTTGGTTGTATACAATTTTTTCTAAAGTGTCCACTAAGAAATTTACTTCATATATACATATACATACACACACACACAACACATATATTTTTAAAAAACTTTAAATTGTCCCTGCTTATCTATGCTCTTCTGGAAATGAATGAACTATCCTAAGGGTTTATTAGTGTGTTTTCAATCTTGAGGTTAGCATCCAATGAAAAACACAGCCCTGAATATTAAACACTGAATGCTTTTGTTGTATATGCCGTACTACTTAGTGGCCCTTATAACTATTTGGGTAGAATTAAACCCTTTGATAAACTCCAACTCACTATAGATCCACATAACATATTTAATGTAGTCATCCATTGATAGTAGTTCAAATTTCGATATTATTCCAGAATTAATTCTCAATTAATGTGAATTAAATCCTGAAGGCACTTGAAAATCATTTCTAAAAAGCTCTGAACCTGTTGGAATCAATCAAATAACTAATATAACTTGCATGTGTGCATAATAATCATGCTGTTTGATATCAGAGCAGTACAATCGAAACCAAAACTACAGTGTGCATTATTTAGCCTCTAAAAGAACAAAGTTCACATTAATCCAATTTGCATGGTTACATTGTGTGTAGCAAAAGAAAACCATAGCAAACCAATGCAGAATGCCCAACATGCCCACATGAAAATGATGGAGTTGAGCTGAATCGCTCAAACACACCTCAAAGCTTCCTGTTTTTCTAAACATTACTACTTTGGGGAGAACCTTCTCTTTTCTCTAAAACCTGCAAATCTTGCGGCTGCTGTCTCCCTAGTTGTTGTTCTTGTTGTTAAGCAACAGCAAGCAGCACTGAAGATGAGGGCAGTATTGAGAAAGTGTGAATAAGCCTGTTTGGTCAAAGAAATGCTCACTTAGAAGCTAACTACAGTGTGGTTCTGAATTTATCTGGACCACAAGCATCGAATCTTCTGGTTCATTTTCTGCTTCTTTTTTCTTCAGCGGCTAGAGCAAGGGTGCCCTAATTAATTTTCACTCTCCCGTCTGCTAGAAATTTAGGGTCACCAAACTGTGGTTCCCCAAAAGGGCACACATAATACACATCTTTGCAATTCCACTTCCTAACACAGTCGATCTGTGGGCTGAATGCTGGAATGAATGAAGTGACCTTTATTTAATATAAAACAAATCATGTTGGGTAAAATGTTCACCTGTTAAAATACAAATTCAATTATTACTTTAAATAACTGTCTTACTTCAGGACTAAAAGTGACAGGAAATAAATATATAAATCAACTGGTCTATTTAAGCCCCATATTTCTTTTATTGTTTTGTAAGATCATCTAAAATTGCATGCTGGCTGAAAATTCTTCCAAAGGTATGTGAATCAATTGTTTAAAACTGAGTTTTTATCATTTGATAGAAATAAAGTATATACTGGAAGTACTTTACTTTCTATTTTTCCAGTAATGGGGCAATGTGAAAAGCCCTCTGAATAAAACAGTCTTCATGATTCTTTTATATACGTCAAGCTGAGTATCACTTTGCCATTATCAATCCAATATAAATTTTCATGCATCTAAGTTTCTGGAGATATTACAAAAAGATTAGTGGTGGCATATGGAGGGACATTTGTGGGTTCAAGCCTACTCTACAAGCAAACAGACCCACTGATCCAAACATTAGATGGGCTGCCTGATACCTTGGCCCCAGAAAGATTCTTAGAAGAGTGAGTCATTAATACTAATCAGGAGAAAGAAAAGATTACCACAGGCCAATGTCTGCAAGGATTTTCTTTTTTAACTTCTTAGGGATAGTTTTAATCTTTTTTTTTTTAATTAAAAGACATGAGTAATGTACTAAAGACACTGAGATCCCTGTGGAAAAGGAAAATTTTCCTAATTTTCCACAGAAATAAAATAACTATTTGAATAATTAGATTTGGACACTGGATCTTAAGGCATCTCAAACTTCCCCCTCATCCTCACTAGAAATTGCCTTACCAAAACTAATGTGATTTTTTTTCACTACTTATGATGATCTCCTTTTAAATACAGACCTCCTGAAATCAAACCCTACCAAAGCAGCATGTTCTTTACTTACCCACAGGAGACATTTCGGGGACTCCCGCCGTGTATGGGCCATCCAAGAATTTGGGTTCGTTGTCATTGATATCCTGAATCTTGATGACAAACTCGGACTCAGGCTCCACAGGCTTGTTGGTGAGCCTGTCCAGGGCCTGGGCTCGGAGCGTGTAGTAGGCCTGCTCCTCCCGATCCAGCCTCTTGGTAGCATGAATATCCCCAGTGTTCTCATCAATAATGAAAATGGAACTTGCCCCTTCGCCTGACAAGATGTATTTGATGGAACCATCTCCTTTATCAACATCAGAGTGAAGCTGGTGAAAAATTCATGTGAGATGAGATTAACTTACAAGAGAGTCAGCGATATGGAGATATGTAAAAATAATTCTTATGTCAGGCAGCAATATATGAAATCTTATTGTTCTTGGAAAGATAAGCTGATGCTTATTGTGCACAGCAGAAAGGCTATTAGAATGTGTCAGCTTGCACTCGTGAGCAAGACAATTTCATTTCTTCCTGTAAACAGTCTCATTTCCAAAGGTATTTCCTATCATTCCCAAAGTTAGAAACTTGTGGTGGTGTTAATTTTTATTTGGTCTGTCCTTGCCAGTTTTAGCCATCTTCTTTGAACAGAGCATTCAGTAATCATGTATAATCGGTTGATTTGATCTTATTCCAAGCAAAGGGACTTGCTATAGAACATTTGCAAATTTAGATCTAATGAAGTATTTAATATGCTTAGAACTCCCGCATTCTTTAAGGACACCCTTCCCTCCCACGCCCTTTCATGATTAACAAGTATGGATGGATGTCCAGTCACTAAATCCGCCTCCAGATCTTGTTCTGTATTTTAAAATTTGAAGCCGAGAAAAATTACACTGCTCTCTGAAGTAGGAATTTTAAATCAGTATGTGCCTGAGACTTCAACTCAAACCTTTCTTGAAATACCAAGAACTGCATTAGATTTGCATGATTAACCCCAGCAATCGGCAGCAGGGCCAGCACCTACTGATTTGCATTTTGTATCTGGAACTGTCCCTGCTGTATGTCAGAACATTATGTTGAACAGAGGAACCTAAGGAAACTCAGACATAATTACACATTTTCCTGAACTTCATAACCTGAAAAACACAGGACTCAATCTGCCGTCTCCACAATCTTTCATCCCCGATAACCACCATCATCTGGACTTCGAGTAAGACGAATGCAAAAACCCAATTTACCAAATAATAAAGGCTCTTCACTGTCCTACAGAACTAGGTTTGCATTCTTTAAAAGACGAGGTGCTACAAACAGAAAATATGGGCAACAACTTGGGGAGGGGTGACTGTAGAACGTTTTCTTCCTTCTGTGGTAGGTGTGGAGGGTACCGCTCTTTACACCGAGGTTTCTGTAAGCGGTTCTTCCCCCACACTGTAACAGCTGTGTGTATACTCTGCTCTAGAATACTTAAGGACCTGATTTCTCCTCTAGTTTCTATAGGGCTCAGTAATACAAAAAATTAACTACCGGCATGAGTTATAATTTAGATTTGTTCAGTGTGGAATTATCTAGTGGATCACTGTACCGCATGTTGACCCACCCATCTGGAAAGGTTGCATTCTTGAAATAAGGTGAATTGCCTAATTTTCTTAAGTCACTGTCAGGGTGACTGCTGCATCTATATCTCCCTCGAAGAAGAAAGCAAGCTGAAAATCACTATAGTTTGGATTACTTGAGTGATTCCTCTATGTCAGGCACTATTCTTGATATTCTCTATATAGTAACTCATTTCATGCTCACATTGAATGAATTCATTATCCCTACTAACAGATCAGGAAACTAAGGTAAAGAAAGGCTGAGTGCCTCGCCTGAGGTCACATGCCCAGTGCTTTGTGGCTGCATCAGGATAATGAAAAACAGGGGCTGCTGGAAAGCTCGATCTCCACTGCCTGCAATAAGACCCTGCCTCTGGAGGGAGACATCTGTGCTCCGGTGAGGTGGGGACATTAAAAGCTGCAGCAGAGGACAATTCAGAGAAAGAAGAGTGCATGCAGCTCCACCCTTGATCACCCCCAAGTCTTAAAGAAGCTCGGTGCTTTGAGTGGTTTCCAACACCTTTTATGACTTGACAGAAGGGTCCTTTCTTGGCATTACAGAACAGCAAAACACCCTACCACCTTCAACAACACAGAGCAAAAAACTTCACTCCTGAGACAAGTGCAGATTATGGACGAAAACAAGCTGTTTCATGCCGCTGACACCTCAAGTACCCCCACCCCTCCACACACTTCTCATGGCTACACTCCTCACCCCTCCTCACCCCATCCATGCCTCTCAGCGTTAGAAGAGTCTACACGCTACCACTGGACCTTGGTGTGAAATATTAGAGGGCAATCCAATGACCACAGAAATACTTAAGTGACATACAGGTTGTGTCTTTAATCAAAGGCTTGCTAGGTCTCTAAGTCTCATTAGGGACTACCATTTTTAGAACCAGCCCTTACGATTCATTTAACTAATTCCTGTCAACTAATTGCTGTTTCCATCCCATGGTGGTGATACAATGCTCCTGTAGTATCCAGGTAAGGGAGAGAGGACATATTCCTTTTCAATACACGACACACATTCAATCCTGAGCTGATCTTCAGTGGTATTGTTAACTGATCTCCATCACTGACAGCATAAGAGCTCAAAGGAAGAAAAGGTTCATATTGCTTGTTTCTCCAATCATTTGAAGATCCTCTGTCTCTGGAGCCCTAAACTTCATCATCCTTCCCATCACTGACACTTTTCTACCAGCTAGGACCATCACTACGCTTGTAATCACTGCCAGAATTCACAAGCAGAAAATTGCTTTGAGTGTCCTTGCAAGGTTAGTGTAAGCATCTGTATTTAAAAGTGGATGACCACCTTTGAGATGCTAAGATGGATACCTAATTATCAAATGCATTCAGACATTTAATCTGAGACTACGTGTACTAATACTCTAATCTTAATAGGCAGAGTGAAACCCATGCTGTTAACGAAAAACTATTATACTTCTCTGCTTAGAAAAAAATGCTCAGCAAAGAAAAACTTGCAAGTGCAGAACTACTTAATAGCGACCTTCAGAAAAACACGTCTGTGTAGGTACACACACACACACACACACACAGGTACACACCATCTTTGTGAATGACTATGAGAGAGCAGAGAAGCACTATTCTCCACAGTGAGAACTTCTGTGCAGTAAAAATAAACAAACATTCTATGGTCCCACCATATGGCAAATGAATAAACAATAAATGAAATACACAATTGAAAACAAATATTTGTACTCTTATTTTGGGCAGAGTAGAACTTATGATGCTATGTCTATTTCATTCACAAATACCCTTGTAAATGTGGTCTTGTGATTCACCTAAACCATAACAGCAACAAAACCTTGATTCATTAATCACCATACAAAACTCACCTTTACTGCATGGATTCCTAAATCCTCTTCAAAGTATTTGTTGTGACTCCAAAGTAAATGTTTACATTATTATTATTATTATTATTATTATTATTATTATTATTATTATTATTATTTTGTAAATAAACCCAAACAGTGAGGAGCACACACATACCTCTTAGCTGGGTCTAGCTGAAGACAAAAGAATCAGTAGAGAAGGAGATTCAATCCTTATGTGTTTCCCTCCATGTCACTATGACAGCACTGTCTATGGTAACAGTGTAAGGAAATGTCACACTGTTAGAATCTTCATCAGCTACACAGGCCAAAAATGTAAAGCACCCTTTACATGCCCCTAAAATGTAGTATGTTTATTTTTTTTAAGATTTTATTTATTTGACAGAGAGCACAAGCAAGGGGGAGGCCACAGAGGGAGAGGGAGAAGCAGGCTCCCCACTGAGCAGGGAGCCCAACATGGGGCTTGACATGGGGCTCGATCCCGGGACCCTGAGATAATGACCCGAGCCAAAAGCAGACACCAGGCACCCCTGTAGTTTGCCATTGATAGAGCCATTGACGATGGCTCTATCATCCCCTGCTTGACAGAATACCTACTCATTACCTCTAATAGAGCAACTCTTTCTTTTCAGTCTTTCAGCAAGAACCTGAATTTGGAATCTTAAAATCTTTCACTAGAGCTATTATAAAACTCTCCAGTTATTCTCCATTTTCTGTCAGAAATTATCCCCCTAAAATGCACATTGAATTTTATCATACCTCATCAATTACTTTTAATTGCTCCCCATGGTCTAGGGATTTACCCCAAATTCTAAGCATGGGGCTCCATGTAGCCCTACGCTAGCTCTTTAGTCTCTCTTTTCCATCACGTCTCAGAAGGCACTCCATGCTCCAGGCACATTGGATGGGGACCACACTGCCTGAACACAGCACGCTGCACCATCCTTTTCAACACAAGTCCTTCATCATCTTGCCTACCAACTGACATCCAGCTCAGCTTAATGCAAGCTCCCTTGTACTGAAGTCTTAACAATCTTCCTATCCCCCCCCCCATGGCATGCTGTTTGCATTTCTCTGTTAAGATGCATTTAATTCTGCTTTATATTGAAAATCTGGCTTAGTTGTTTTCATCCATCCCTTTAACTTCTAAACTCTTTATGAGCCGGGTTCTTTTTATATCACCATATTCCACATGCTCAATAAATAGTTCACTGTCTTAAATTTGGTAAATTTTAATCCACTTTGTAAAATAGTAGTGCTTGTTTTCCTTCAATTTCTATCCTTTTAAGTTTTAATAGCATCCAGCAAAAAGACAACAAACTAAATAAAAAACATCCCTTATCTCTGGATTGTTCTCCGTAATCCTCTGGCCTGCCTAGACAGAGCTCAGATACCTCATTTTGAATGTCCATGGTAACATTTGGCTCATTATTCTAAACTTGCACATTTACACATCTGGGTTCCCCAGGAGACAGAACCCTATAGGGGCAGACATGCTTTCTTATTCCTGTTTCCTAAGTTTTATGTAGTAGTACGTACACACACACACACACACACACACGTGCTGGTAGAGGGTTTTATAGACCTTTGGAAGAAGGTCTATGATGGAAGAATTTCAATGTCCTTGATTAACTTTTTAAATCTACTATTTAGTTTTTAGTTTAAGATTATAAAGACCAAAACTAAAAACAGATCAATGCACTGCAGTTCTGACAATTTTCTCACATCTACTTAATCAACTAGGGCCTGATACGAACTACCTGGTCTAGTACTGTCAATCTATCTGCTTAAAGAAGAGTCTGAATATGGTGAATAAATCTGTTTAGCAAAGACCTAAGCTAAGAAAAAAATCAAGTCAATATGTTGATCAACTTTTCTTCC